ACAACAACGATAAGAGTCAATCCGATATCAATTTCTTATAGCGTGCTTAATTTATCATTTTCTCCAGATAATGACCATGCATGGGAGGTGGGAGGCTTTTAGAGGAAAAAGCAAGGAGAAGAATGATTTGCTTTTCACAGCCAAGAAATCAAAGCTGTTCCAATTCAAGACTGAGTTAGACATATTCTTGGGTAATAACAAAGGGGAGGTCCCTGATTTCAAGGTCAAAGAAGGCTACAGCAAGAGTTCCTGATCTATACTTCTTGGAGATTCCAATACCATGCTTGCACAAGTAACATTAACAAAACTTATTTATGAAATATGACAATATTGAATAAGTTTAACCAACTCCATCTCCTCATACAGAACAGAACTATATGCAGCGGGCAGGGCCAAAATTAATATAATAAAATATAATATTTTTTAATTTATTGTACATCAGTTATAAAAAAATTAAAAATATATAATGACATTTACATAAGATAAAAGTTGAACAATACCAAATTAAATATTAAATTAAAATGAATAAATTAATTTGATCTTCATAATATATTTATTATTTTAATATAATCTATATATGTGTGTGGCTGAGGCTGTAGTAGAATTACCCCAGATTTCATTACATCATTTACATCAAAACCGATTATTGTTTTAATCAAGAAAGTTGTCTTAATAATTAATATCTCATGCCAGTGCTTTTCTTATTATGTGAACGCAGGTGCATGGAGGACACACCCTCGCGATTATGCCTTCATAGTGGCTCTTGTGGTGGTGATTCTCGACAAGATCAATGCGAATCATGATGGGGACGCGGCCATTAACGGTTTTAGCAATCGATTTCATTACATCATTTACATTAAAACCGATTATTGTTTTAATCAAGAAAGTTGTCTTCATAATTAATATCTCATACCAGTATGTTTCTTATTATGTGAACGCAGGTGCATGGAAGACACACTCTCGCGATTATGCCTAATGTTGACTATGCCTTCATAGTGGCTCTTGTGGTGGTGATTATCGATAGGATCAATGCGAATCATGATGGGGACGCGGCCATTAACGGTTTTATCAATGGATTTGTTTCGTCGGAATAAAAAACACGCTTTGTCGGTAAAAGTCACATACAAAAACTGTCTGTCGTCATTTAGATAGTCGGTAATTTTTCTTTTTGTCTTTAGTTCTGTCAATAAAAAAAAATAAACACCAACAGTCATACAATAAAAAGTACACGTCAGAAACAAATTTTCACTTGAAATATACCGACAGAATAATTTAATTTGTAATAGTTGTAAATCACCAACAAAAAAGTTTCATTAGTGAATGTGGCATAAACAATAAATATTTTGCAACTCTATGTTAAATAATAATGGTCTTTGGTTGTTGGTCTAGATATCAATAATAGTGGTATATATAGTAAATAATTTTCAACTCTCTGTAAAATATCAATTATACAAATAAAATTGTATGAAACATTAAAATATAAAAATAAAGTTAAATAATATTTATCTAAATATTCATTACAAATTTAATGTATTTCCAAAAAAAATTAAACTAGAACAATGTCGGAGATGAATGAGGAGAAGAAGGAGGAGGAGGAGGAAGCTGGTCGCTCCCGGGACCAAATGGCCAAAAAAAAGGCGCATATGTATCACCAATATGTGATCTAATGTCCATAATCATTTGGTTGAGTTATTCATAATTCTTTGAAAGTCGCTCATATTGTTGTTTTAAGGCTATGAACTCCTCAGACTAGGTGCTTGATACTAATTGGAAGCTTCCAACGATTGAGACACTGTGAGCCACCCGTAAGTTCTTGGCCGTAGTATTGGAGAGCCCGTACACCTTCTTTTTATTGGGTTCACTAGATGATCCTACCTCCATCCACAAATCTGGATTGAAATCTGGATGGGTCGAAGAATCATCCCTGTATCTC